CTTAAATTAATACAATCATTAAATAAAAATTAAATACAATTAAACTATATTAATAATAAATAAATCTCTTGCTTAAATATTACTACTAGCTAGTAAAACTCAAACAAATCTTAAACCTTCCAAAAAAACAATTGCTATTAATAAAAAATCGAAAGAATAACTTGAAACTTTACAAATAATAACATACAATTGAGAGAATATGGTCAAACCTTTCTAAGCATATTTTCTATAAATGCATACTTAAATTCTGTCCCAAATATATATTTGATCTTTATAAATGCATTTTCTTATTACAGTAAAATCTCCATAAGTGCACTCTCTATAAGTGCACGTCCTCTCTAAATACATACTTAAATTCAAGCCTAAGTATATACGTGACTTTCATAAATGCACTTATTGTTCTCTAAGTGCACGCAGTTAAAGTTCAGTTTCAAGAGTGTGCACTTATGGAGGTTTTACTGTAGTTCTGAATTCTTTTAATGTTCTTGAAGTCTATAATCTTGAGCAGGTACGTGGGTTTTTGCTTAAAAAGTCTTGAAGCAAGGTTCTATTGCATTGAAAGTACTATATCAAAATAGAACAAAAGGTTATTTTTGAGAGCGTGATCTTTCTCAGCTTTATTTTTTTTCTCGGTTAAAGCTACAAATCAATGAAGTATTTGTATAGCTGAGCAATTGTATCTAGTCCTGTGAGCGTGGGTTTCTTTTAAAAAACCCCTGAAAATGGCAATTGAAAAAAGCCTATCGTTGCAATTTACTATTAAAAATAGGCATTTCATATGGATGTCGATCACTCAAATTTCATATTAAAAATTTTGCACCCGTGATCTGCGTGACAAATCGTGCGTCTGATAATACCCTATTTACGCAAAATAACACACATGGGCGTTATTTTGAAAATCACGTTTCCTTAAAATAGCATAGTTGGTTTCAAAATAACGCCCATGTGCGTCCTGAAATAACACACACCCCATATACTAATGTTAATAAATCATCTTGATATTTACTATCAGCGATTGGGGCATATCCTTTGCCTCGAAATAACGCTCATGTGCGTACTCAAAATAACGCACATCTCCTCAAAATAACGTGCAGATGTGCGTTATTTCGCGTAAATACAGTACAACTCCTATACAATAAATATCCGATTTTTTATTCCTTTCATATCTTCTGGATACATTATTATCTACTAAAAAACATTGTGGATCAATGTATGGTATAACACTGAAAATTTCACCCGTAGTTCTAGACTTTGAGGATTTTGCAACACGTTTTGATAATCAAAAATTTTAAAACTTGTTGATGAATAAGTATATTATTTGGGTGCTTTCAGGGTGGAAAATGAAATTCAAATCAGCATAACATTATATTACACCGAGTGTTAAATAATCTCCATGATAAGTTTCAATTACTTATTATAACATACCAAGTCACCATGAATAATATTACAAGCATGCAACCATTCAATAGCATCTACAAATTGATTTGCAAATTGAATTATTAACTTCCATTCGATTTTAGTTGCATTATTGCTCAAATAATCTCGTAAAGTTCTACTATCCACATACTCAAGAACAAGTACATTTT